AACTTGGGGGCATTACAGGTAAATATATTTGTTTATTTCATATTTTCGAAACACAAGTGTTATAAGGTTCATATATTTGCTTTGGTAATGTATATCTTTAAGTTAAAAAATAATCAAACCAATCTTTATCAATTATGTTATACAGATCTGACAACCTATTCTGATATGTACCACTTCTGGTGTCTCTTTTACAGAGAAAGGAGTTAAAACTTTCCGATTACACCCTGAGTACAATATAAGTCGAAAAGAGAAAGAAGGTGTGAAGGAGTTTTATGACTATGATGTGGCTCTCATCCAACTTAAGAATGATGTTCCAATCGACAGTACTGTTAGGTAAGAGTTTGTCCTACAAACATGTTCAGTGTAACTGATCGATAAAATTTTTCCTCAAATCTTAATACCCTTGAGATAAAGTTCCAATTATAATATTGTATTTTTTTAAATGCAATGTATTATTTATTGAGTTACGTTTTTAATTGGGGACTTAATCCACTTTAAGTTATACTGTTTTTAATATCTCATTCAGACCTATCTGCATACCTTGCACCCAGGAGACCAGTGATGCTCTGAAGCTGGTTGGCCAATCAACCTGCAAGCAACAAGGTGGGATTTATAAGCTGTAACACCAACACACTGCTTGTGAAATTATTAAGCATATTAATAACAGCTATGGTGGATTCAGCTATGCTATCCTATTGCCTCTTTGAAAAGGAGAGCAAAGTAACATATTGTTCTTCATTGTGACCTTGCAGTTAAAACAAAATGTCTGCAGAGCCAAAGGTACTATTAATTGTGTTTTTGGTATTTCAGAGCAGCTTCTGTTAAAGAATCATCTTGAAAGTCTTTCTTTTTTGACCAAAAGTGGAAACGCTGTACGTAGAAAAGATGTCAACGCAAAGCTGGGCGATAATGTGAGTTCTAGCTTACTGAGCTGTGTTATGCCATATGCATTTGCTTGTTTTCTTTATTGTAAACTCGTAACCCAAGTGTCATATTAAGTTGCATTCTCCTCTCTTACTCTACAATTCAGAGAGATGAATGCATCAGACACGCACTAGAAGCAGAAGGCATAACTACGGTTAAGCCAGAGGATGCAGTGACTGATAACTTCCTGTGTAGTGGTGGTTTGATTCCTTTCAGAGATCATATAGCATGCAGAGGTATGTTGTTCCTGTTATCCCTTACTTTTAAAAGAGCTACTGGTAAACCCTGACACAGCCTTAAATTTTGCGAATTAACATTGAATGATTATGTCCTTGCCTGATTCAGTGTATTTACTGTAATTTAACACACGGATATCCCGTAGATAAAGTCTAAATACAAACAAATTCATAACTTAAAAACTAAAAGGTTTTTATCCTTTGGATCCTCTGTTTTTTCAGAAACTTTTTCTCAAAACATTTATGGAGGCTGTTTATTTTGGGTGTAATCATGTGTATGTGTATTTTCTTGGGCAGGTGACTCTGGAGGTGCTGTGTTTAAAAACTATCAGTTTCGCACAATACAGGTAAGCTAGCATTCTTCTCAACCTAATACATATTGTAAGGACATCTCCTGGGGGCTTATATTTTTCACAAATAAATTAAACTCCATTGGAATAATTAAGGCCATGTAACTTGTCCTCAAAGGTTGTTGTTAAATGTGTAAAGCAACACTGTATTTTATTGCAGGTTGCTGTGGTAAGCTGGGGAACCAAGGAGCTCTGCAATTCAGGAAATGTCATAGACTCGAACGAGGTTTCCAGAGATTTCCATATCAATCTTTTCAGAGTTGTTCCTTTTCTCAGATCAATTCTTGAAGATAAGGACCAGGATGACTTTGTACCACTTACATTCTTGACAGATTAAAACTAAATACATTTAAATAACATGAGTTGTATTGCTATTTCATTCGTGAATACAATACAGGTTGTGTTATTTTGCTGTTTGATAGTAATCCATTAACTCATTCAATCTGTTTTTTCAACTGAGTAAGTTAAATATAAAACAACGCTTCACAATTTAAAGAAAATACATCATTCTTTGTTTGAAATGCAAAATAGTGCTCAAGCAAATCAGTAGTACCGTTCTGTTCTTTGTTTATAAATAAGAATAAAACATTTAAAGACTATTTCTAGAGGCCCCCTGTACAGAAGTTAAAAATCAGTATTAAACTTTGTCTTGATGTGTTTTGAGTATGATTTCAGCAGGAACATGAGTTATATATTTCTAATGTTATGAAAATCGATTTTGAAAATTGCAGGTTGCTCATTGTGTCTCTGCAAGTAAGGATAAATAACCATTTGAGAAAAAGTGACTCTGCAAAAACTTCCAAATTACAGCTAACAGAAATTATATTGCACTACATTTTGTACAATCACACGTTATTAAATAACATCCCTTTCTCTGATCATTTTCAAATATGCTCAAGAAAAGAAGGAATAAAAGAATTACCACAGTACTGAAAAGGTTTCATCAAAATTCTTATATGGTTCAGCTCTGCTGACGGAGCCGTCCAGCTCCACTTCAGGTCAGTGACTCAAGGCCAATTTCCAGATCGCTGTGCAGGGCCTACGCAATGCGGACACTGAGCCTGGCAACAGGCCAACTAAGAGCATTCAAATTGAATATAGTTGAAAGTTAAGGTTTTTTTTAGAGGGGTTGTAATTAAGTTCTTTCTCTTTCATTCCTGATTAATGATGGAGATGAACTGAGTTTGTCATTCATTGCTGCGTCTTTACAGCCCACAAACAAATGAGGCCACCGAATTACAAATGATTTGTGGTGGTCAGAGCAGCTTTATGACTTCACATTATGGCATTTTACTGTGTAACTATGATCTGTTGACCATTACACTATCAGGGATAGCCTTGGAGGAAATGTACACTTTGCAATTCTCTTTACTACAGCATATTGGCTAAATGTCAAATATCAAAGAATAGTGGTGAATTTTCAACATCAACGTTAGATCCCTCTGACATGGTGAACCGCCTTCCTTGTGTGTGAGGTTGTGCGTTAGGTCAGTGAAGTACAGTCTTCCCATGGGAACATCCATCTGGTTTCCCTTTAACTAATAGAGAGAGAGTGGGAGGAGGCCAGTGGGATGAGAGGAGGAGGCAGAGGATGACAGACTGTTTGATAGGAGGGAGTGGCTTAATTGAATGAAACCCTCTCTTGGTCTCAGATGCTGTAAACAAGAAGGAAATTTAAAACGAAGAGCATTCCTCATTAAATCCCTCAGGAAGACTCAGACATCTCTGTCTGCTCTTTTATTTCTTGGAGCGCCACCTGCTAATGCAAAAAATCCTTTCTCCTCTTCAATTTAAACAAAGCCTTTGACTGAAAACAATCTGTTACACCTAAACTGATTAGCAATGTTTGGTTACAGCAGCATACACACAGACAGTATATTCTGGGCAGCCCCACCCAACCCCCACCCACGCTCCTTTTTCAAGGCTGATACTCTCAGCATATTCCTGATGAAGCATCTTGCTGTTTAAACTCTGGCTGATCTGTCTCTTTGTGAGCCTTAAATCAACCGTATAGGCCATTTTAGAAATTACTACCATTAAGAACTGCATACATACACTTTTCCCCCATTTATGCTCGGAAAAGAGGGTCAGGCTCACATGCATTCCTGGCTTCTGCTGATCCTTACACTTGAATATGAAATCATATGGAGGGTTTTATAAGGATCGATATGCTCCTTGTAACAACGCTGAAACGTCAACCATTAACCTGAATAATATAAACAGCTACTTTAAGCTAACTTGGCTCTTTTCAAAGATAAAAAAAAAAAAAAAACTTGTACAAGTTACCAGATAATTATGGTTTATCTGAGATAAAACATAAAACTGTGGCATGAAGGAGCTGTTCAGCATACCTTATTCTTGTTCCTGCTAGCTAATGTTAACTGTCTTGGGTCTCTACTGTTTACCTTGTTACATGATTGGTTCTGACATAGACTAAACATTTACAGTTCTGAGTAACACAATTTGGTATTTTTAAATAAAAGGACAAGCTGAACTTACTGGAAATCTACTTACTTGTGAAGAGTTAAAATGAAAGATTAAGTTACACCAATAAATGCTAACTACACTCTCATGTCTTCATGCTAAATTGTTGTTAGCAGGAGGTTAGTTAGCCCAGTCTGACACTGAGAGCAGAAAGAAAAACTAATCCAGTGTGGTCAAAAGATGAGATAATCCAACTACCACTAACTCTTAAATTAATAAACTACATTTAAAGTGCTTGTTTATTATGTTTATTTAGACATAACTTGCTCTATTGCGGCTGACTTTAGCTAAGAAGCTACAATACCAACAATAAAATGTTGAACCAAAATCTTTTCTCCTCTTTTAATTTCTCCTCTTAATTTAAAAATAAAATCTTATTTACATTAAAACTATCATGTAACCATAAAAAGGTCATCTTGAGCACCAGACTAATAAATGTTTTTAAGTCAATTTGCGCTGTTTCATCTTATTTTTGTCTTATGTTGAGTCAAATGACTGAGAAAATGAACCACTTTATTGAAGACCAGCAGATGCTAAAGGTCTATTAGTTATGTACACAGCATTTTTTTCTATATACAGTATGTGTTTGCGTTAACTCGCTTTAGTTGAAATAAACCATTGAAGAGAAAATAGAAGCCCTTTCCACCCCTCTTAGAGATATCAGCTCTTTTGGCTATCTGTCTTGCTTTGTATTGAAACACAGTAAGGAAGGAACGCTGCAATGTCTGAGAAAACATTTTAAGAAAGCCCTTATCAAGTTAGAGGAGATTATTTTCATGTAACACTTTTGTAATGATAATAGCGAAACCTTAAGTAATAAAGGAAGGAGTGAAATCTGCCTCTTGTCAGCGTTTACGATGTGAAGCACTTGCATGATTAGATGTCTTGCAATCGATGCAGCCTCTTCTTCCAATCATTAAGACTGCTCTTAACAGATTACAGCCCCCTCCCAAACACACAGTCTTTTCTCCTCCTCTTCTTGCTCCTTCCATTCCACATAGTCTCTGTTTCTTATTGAAATGAGAGATCACCTCTAAAGCACTTCTTCAGTTTTTCTCTTTAATTTCAGTCTTTTTGAAAGCTTTTTCTACTATCTTTGGCTGCAGATCACCTCTTTGGGTCTAGGTGGAGTTATCTGGTGTCAACTATAGGCTCTATCCATGACAGGTTGAGAAGACATCGGAATGAAAAAAGATAATACCATTATAAAAGTGTTGATCTTGAACAGACTACTACTGACAAAGATGGACCTACTTATAATTTTCGGTCACCTGCTGCTTTTATTTTTTGATTCCTCTGAAGCCACAAGCCTAATTACAGGTAAGTTGCGCAGAAAAAAAAACACAACACAAAGACCCAAATTCTTAATTCAATTGTGGATCTATGTCTGTTTTTCACTTTGCCGGTCCTTCTGACTCAATGATGGATGTTTGACTTTCCAAGCGGACTTATTTGAAGCTAGAGGTAAACACTCTTGAATTTATGCACAAATGGATTCTAAGACATGGGAAGCCAAAGTACAAAATCTGAAAAAGGGGTTAATAGGATGACATTTTTTGGATCCAGTTAAAGCAAAGCTGCAGAATTGTCTGCATGTCAAAGACAATGGAGAGACTTTTGTGAGAGATGTGTGTGCAAAGAGCAGCAATAATGCAGAAGTTATGAGATGAAAGCATGAACTTGATTTAGAGATTTTCACAAGTTGTAAACATGATTGGTAACCGAAAAAAAGAGGAATATAAGTAGATAGTAGTGTCATTTTGCATGTGCAAGTTGACAGCATCCAACTATGAATGCCACAAAGGAGTCATAATAAATTAATAATAATAATAATAAATTAGATTTATATAGCGTTTTTCTAAATACTCAAAGTTCTGTTTTCTTTGTCATTAGGCAGGCAGAGTTGAGTATCGTCGGCATATAACTTGATATGAATGTTATGTTTTTGTACGACATCGCCCAATGGTAACATTGGAAGGGATGTAATATACGAGCCTAAATTAGCAAACTCTCATGAAAAGTCAGAGTGAATTGGAAAATAAATGTATTGCAAATCTATCATTTATCATCAGGTGTGTTCAATATGCAGGGTAATAGGATTACATTTTTTGGATCCAGTTAAAGCAAAGCTGCAGAATTGTCTGCATGTCAAAGGCAATGGAGAGACTTTTGGGAGAGATGTGTGTGCAAAGAGCAGCAATAATGCAGAAGTTATGAGATAAAAGCATGAACTTGATTTCACAAGTTATAAACATGATTGGTAACTTAAAAAAAGGATATAAGTTGATTAGGTGTAATTTTGCATGTGCAAGTTGACAGCATCCAACTATGAATGCCACAAAGGAGTCATGTTGTGTTTGCTTTGTCATTAAGCAGGTAGAGTTGAGTATCGTCGGCATATAAATTGATATGAATGTTATGTTTTTGTCCGACATCGCCCACTGGTAACATTGGAAGGGATGTAATATACGAGCCTAAATTAGCAAACTCTCATCAAAGTCAGAATGAATTGGAAAATAAATGTATTGCAAATCTATCATTTATAATCAGGTGTATTCAATATGCAGGTCAACGCGTGTGCAAGGCAGGAAAAGGCAAGCCGTGTTACAAGCTGGCTTATTTCTCCGAGCTCCGGCGCCGGCTGAACTTTGTCGAGGCCGAGCTCGCCTGTAGACGGGACGGAGGGCAGCTGCTGAGCGTGGAGTCAGAATCTGAACAGAAGATCATAGAGCAGCTCATTACAGAGCTCCGCCCAACTGATGGAGACTTCTGGATAGGTCTCCGCCGTAACCATGGAAACGAGGACAGCAGCCTGGATTGCTCCTCACAGTACTACTGGCTGGACGGCAGCAAGTCGACTTTTAGGTGAGGCTATCCGGATTATCTGGATTTTAAGAAGTACCATAATTTTAAATGTTGGCATCTTCACAAGCTGTAAACCCGATTTATTTTGGCCTTTATTGATATCAACTTTTAGAGTTAAAAAATGAGACACTTATTAGTGTGCACGCTCCATTTACAGAGGCTACAGTCCTTCAAGCGGGCGGCCCGGGTTCAAATCCTACTTGTGGCACCTTTCCCACGTGTCATTCTCCACAAAAAGCCCCAACAAATCTTTACAAATTTTAATTAAATAAAAAAAAAGCGTCAATCTCATTAGGACTGCACTGCTCTTTTATTTTTTATATTATTATTATCTGTTGTACCAAAGATTTTACTTTAAACTTTACGTTCATGCTTATGCGTTTGCTGTAGGAACTGGCACTGGGATGAGCCATCATGCGGCTATGAGGTGTGTGTGGTGATGTATCACCAGCCGTCAGCTCCTCCTGGTCTGGGGGGTCTGTACATGTTTCAGTGGAACGATGACAACTGTGAAACTAAAAACAACTTCATCTGCAAATACAATGGAGGTACTGATGAAACAGGATTTTAGTGGGTTTTTTTTTTAATGAAAAACTGGAAAACTGTTGATTGTGAATTATTCTCTCCACAGAGAAACCACAGGACCCTTCCCCTTCTCCAAACTCCACTAAGTCAAGTAAAGAAATACCTCGTTATGACCATTAAGAGATATCCAACCTTAATTTTGTTTTTTAGATGTTTTGGATATTTTGAAACTGACTGGTTAAAAATGGAGTCTACTTTTCTTTCCAGATGTTTTGCCTTCATCAGTGCTGCCGTGGAATCCAAGAGAAAACATCCAGGACAGAAGTACAGGTGGAGGGGCCGAGATTTAACTTTTACAATAACTTATTTCTCTGCTAAAGAGATCACTGCTCTGATGTTGTCACGTTCAAATGCTAACACACCTTCACTATGTTTGTTCATGTTTTCATTTTCAGTTCTGAAACTGGTTTACATCATTATTCCCACCATTCCCCTCATACTTCTTTTACTGACGGTGACCGGAGTCTGCTGCTTCAAACTGCTTGTCAGACGGTGAGGACCCTTAAAAAGGCAAATACTTAAAAATAAAGAAATGCAGATTTTGAACAATCCTTTAAAGCATTTCCTTTAGTAAGACTTGATGTCCTGCACTTCAAACTTTTCATCATTGAGTAGATTTAAGTTAGTTTTTAGGAAATGTTACTCAAATAAGAAATAAAGGTAGGCCTACATTTGCTTGGGATTAATTCCTGCTGCAGATTAATTCATGCTAGTGAGTACAGCAGCAGGACTATGTAGGTTGTACCAACATAAAAATAATCTACAGTTCTTAAATGTGTTGTGAGGAAGGAACTTGTTAACCAGTACTACATGAAGGTGTTACCAATTACCAAAATCTGTTATTGCATAACAAGGAAAACTTGAAGGGTTTGCCAGTTTAGAAAAATCTGCTACATCTTCAACAGTTTGTCAGCAGTATAATCAAGTTCAGGAGTCTTTCATCGTAACTTTTTGAGGTATCTTGTTATTCACAGAAGGAGGAAAGAGCAGAAATCAGAAGTATGCCAGACAGAGCCAGCGTTGGAAAACAGCACAACTCCAACTGATGTCTACAACGTGATTCGCTCCCAAAAGGACGATGACCTGATTTCAGCCCGCCCAAACACCAAAAACACTTCCTTTCTTTGCTCCTCCCCCGACACACCCACAGGTGACTATGACAACCTGGGGGGCCGGGACACAGAGAGTGGCTTTGTGACACTTGCCAGCACGGAAAGCTGCTTTCTCAACTTCGACCTCAATGACCTCAGCCTGGGGCGTCGAGGCACTCGTGACTTCTACGACACCAGCCTTGGCCGCTCAGGAAAGAGGGATCTGAAGGACGGCGGCCTGAGCTGCACCGGACACAGAGACTTTTACGACAGGAGTTTGGGTCGTCGTACAACCAAGAGTGAGCATTACGGCAGCAGCGTCTATGGTGACCACGGGTTGTATGATGGCAGCATCAGAGGAGGGAGCGACCTCTGTGACTCTAAACTGAGGCCTGGAAGTCACACAGTAAAGGCTGACCTCTATCAGACTTACATCACCAACGGCAAAGAGGACTCCTTCCAAACCAACCTCGGGACCTATGGAAACCGAAAATCCTACCAAGCTAATCTGGATTGCTACAGAAATGGTCTGAATCTGGATGGTGGAAGGAGATACTTCAATGAACAAGATTGGATCAATAGTAGAGAAAACTACTGATCCTGTAAAAAGCTCCTGTATTGTGTGCTGCAGTGTATGTGTGCCTGTAGATGAAAGAATGGCAAAAAAAAGACAATGGTGCACGTTCTTGGTTGTAATTTGATTGCTCAATATATTTCTGTAGCCTTTTATAAGATTGAAGTAAGGTGTGAATATATCCTGTGAATGGCTTCTAACTCAACTTAAAGAAATGAAGTCACATTCATTTGGAAGAATATACACTTTAATATGGAAGCCCCAAGTCCCTAAGTCCTAAGGAAGATAAGCTTGAGAAAACTGAAATTAACTTGTCATCACTGGAAAACAAGCGTTATCTCGTGATCATCAGATAAACAAGTTGAGATCTCTAGAAAACAAATCAACTTCCTACCATGACAGGAAAATTGAGCAAATAAAAAGCATCTCTTTAAGATGAGATATTAAATTAGGACTTCCATTATTTTTCAGTTTACATTTTCTTTACAGTTACGGGAGTTTGCTAATGCATATATGAAAATTGCTATTCAAAGCCTTGTGTGGATTCAGAGGGAGCTGAGTGAAGTCTGGTATTTTGTCTCTGATAATATCATTTACGTCTGGATCGTTTGGAGATGGAAGACAAGTATGATGATGAGACCAATGTGGAGTTGGGCAGTTTAAAATATGTTTTCGACATACCTCAGCTTGAGGTTAATTTGGCTGTTACAAGCACAACACACCGAAACATCAGACTGAATTTCAAACTTTTTAGTTGCATTGTTGGTTAAGCAGAAGCATGTTTGCACGTCCATGGCCTTCCGTCATTGCTTGATAGCATAACCATAACGATCTTACACCATTTTATTTGCTGTACCCAAAATCCTTTATAAATCACACAATTTGACCTGATATAACAGGCTACCTCTATCAGATGAACTCGAACTAACATTGCTTGAGTGAGCGGGGTGCGGGTGGGGGGAGGGGTGTTTGATATGGCCTTAAACTGCAAGATGTCAAGTATTTGAATGTTATTTTATTGATATACTGTACATGTTTACTATTTATCAATTGTGTCCTGTTTGCATTCGGGTGATTCAAAGATGTCCTAAATTGATGCTTACGAGTGGAAAGGTGAATTCAGCTGGAGTGTCTGCAGCCCGGCCACAGCAAGAGCATGTTATCGAGGAGAATGATAAAATAAAGCATTATTATTGATTTCTGGATGTATAATGCCTTGAACTCTCTCCTGTAAGTGAGAGTTGTTTGTATGTTTGTCACATAAAGAAATCTTGAAATAAAGTGAGATTAAAATGAGATTGACTCTGTCTGTGACTGCAGGAATTGTACCATCCCAATAGAAAAGTACAACTATGACAGCATTAAATCATGTTTTTTTTATTCACATTCCAAGGTAAATTAATAACACAACCTTACTGTCATTCATTTCCATCACTCACAGCCAACAGCGCACACAATAAAATACTGTTCAAGTGCAGGCAACACTACAAGATTTTTGAGATTCATTTCAGGTTTGTTTGTTTTTTTTTTCAATTCCGGCCATGTCTTCAAGTTAAATATGAAAAGAAAACACTCACATTTATCTGTAATGGCCTGTCCGAGGATATATGCATTTAAAATCTTGTAGTGTTCATACGAAGACATTCATTTACACTAACACACAAGCACACACACACAAAATGTACAAACAGGTCCAGCTGATACCTGACAAGAAAATCTACATACTAAGAGTTTTCACTTCCCTCACACACACACACACACACAAGTCCTGGAGCAGACGTAAAGTCCTTAAAGGGTCTGATATCTTGCAGTGTTTCATCATACTTTAAAACACATGCATGTACGCATGTCCAACAATCACACACACACACGAACACACACTTACGCAAATACCAGCTGCTTTGAGGGGAAGCGACCGATTTCTGTTGTACGTTGGGCCGCTATGAGGTTCGAAGGTCAGCCATGGGTCCTTTTACGAGGCTGCTTTTGCCGCCGTGGTTTCAAGATGACGTAGCGCCTGTAGGTGGTGTGATGGTCTGACAAAAATGGGATGTAGAATGCTCTGAGGAGACGAGATGATCTGAGAGAGAAAAAGGGTTCACAAGAAAGTGAAAATGTTATTCTTTTTATCCTTTCAATTCCTTCAGTTATTCATTTTATTTTTTAATTCCATACTTTTCTGGTATAACTATTGTTCTACCACATGCATTCATGTTTTAATGAATATTTTCCAAGATCTGATGCAATCATTTAAAAATATATATTTTCTGTATTAATAATGAGTTTGAGAAAAATACCTTGATGCTTGAATAAAAGGCTTAAAGGCGATGACATTCCACTCCTCTTTGTTGGCTGAATAATTTGGCTCAAGTGGTGATTCTTCTTCTATGTCCAGGTCTACTAAGTAGTGGCACTGCCGTAAATCCAACTACCCATGGTTGAAATTTCACAATTAAAATTGTATTTTAATTAAATACAGTTTCCACATGTCAACAAAAGTGTACATGTTTGAGGGACTCACATATCTGGTTGGCTCCTCCAGGTTCTGGTCATTCATATTAGCCGGGATGATCTGTGTGGCCAGAGGTCCAGAGGCATACGGCTGAGGCAGCTGCCCTTTAAACTCAGACTGAATGAAGTGTAGCTGCCAGCTGAAGAAGAGGAGCAAAAACTATTAGCCAGTGACACAACTGTAGTATATCTATGAATACACGTTACACCAATCATTAGACATTGTATCGGCATCCTGGACACTGACTTGTGCGGTAAAAGAAAGCTGCTTGGGAAGCGGTACCACTCTTTGCCCACACACACATTAACAGGTCTCCCGGGAGGGACTGCATGAAGAGTTGGGTCCTTTGCAATGCGGTGGAACTCTGGGTACAGGTCCAAAGGGGCGTGGTAGCCTGTAGACAAAGAAAAGGTTTCATTTCATCCATCTTGAACTGTTGTCTTATTGCCTGACACTAATTTTTCAGAAAACACTGAATGCATTTGCACAGACCTCTGAAGAGGGCGACTGAGCGAGACAGTGACAGCACTGAGAAGACAACAACTGCACTTAGAGCCAACCAATTGGAAGAGACAGTGTAGTGCTCCAGACGGTACCGCTGGAACAGGAAGTGGTAGCATTTCTGTAAGAAATTAAATAATTGTGGGGGAAAAAATTAAATGACAAATTCAACCAATTGACTACTGCCCATGTTTAACAATGACAAAACAAACCTGCAGTGATGAGAGGGCTACTGCTCCACAAAGGCAGATTAAAGGGTAGATGGGAAATAAAAAACGCTCCTCTTTATGGGGTCTGGTGAAGAAAACCAACATCCAGATATACATAGGAGACAGAGTTAGCCAGTATGGACGGCCCAGGTTCTGCACTGCAGAAAAAATGAGTAAAAAAAGAACATGAAATCACAAATGGAACTGCTTTGAAAATGAACATCACAGCAAAATAAGCTCTCTTATCATGTGTGTGATTACATTCTGGGCTGTATTTTTCTGAAACCAAACAGCACTTACCATTGAACCTGTGTAACAGTGTCTCCATGAGAGCAGTGAGTGGGAGAGAAAACAGTGCCAGAGCAAACACCAGGTTGAAGTTCAGGAGCCCGTTAAAAAAGTAGAAATGCCACGGCTCTGTACCTAAAAATAAAGTGAGACAAAACATGCAAAATATTAGAGCTTGTGCACAGAAAATCACTATAAAACATCTTCAGTTCAAAATGATTTCAAGAGTTAAATAAAGGGTGAAAAACACAGAGGGCTTCAAGCTTCAAATAAAGATGGTGAACATTCAAGCCCTGAGGTGCTTCACATACTGTGTGGATGGTGATGGTATGCCCTCTAGAGTCTGACAGACTCAGTGCACGAACAGGTCATATTTGTGTCTAAAATCTAGGTTCTTGCTAGGTTCTAGGTTCTTGCATTAAATAGGTTCTTGCTTTAAATTACACATATATTTTTATCCCTGCACGGGTTATGTACATTTCTTGTATAAATCTATTTTTAATTGCACAGTTTAAGTTTGATTCATCTAGGGGTATTCTTCAAATCTTTTTTTGGGTTAATATATATATGTATGGGGGGGGGGGCGTCGGTTTTGCGGTTTAATTTGTAACAAATGTTTCATTTCATGTACGTCTTGTAACCTGCTACTGGATACTTTGAATTACCCTCGAGATCAATAAAGTATCTATCTCTCTACCTACCTACATACCTCTCTACTGTATTTTGTTCTATTGGTCTTTAAACCTCTATATGAAAAAAAAAAAAGATCCTGAATAATAAAATGCATTGTACTTCATCTAAGAAAGATGAATCAGTAGAAAAAATATTTGTGTTGTGTATAATTATGGTGTGTCTTTAAAGATTGAAATATCTGTAAGTATTCATTCTATAAAAAAGTGAAAGTGAACGGACAACATGACGTCAGAGGTCTGTGTGCATGAATGATCCTTTCCGATATAATATAAAAAGACACATTTGATGTGTGCTCTTACCGTACAAATCAGGTCCATGTGGTGTGAAGACATTATAAAGAAGAATATTGAGTGGAGCAATGACCAGTTTTCCATAAAAGAAAGAGTCCACTGCCACCAGGGGAACCTGGGAAACATATAAAGGGGTCAAATTTCCATCATCTCTAGCTATATGAACATTTTAATATTTAATTTATTAAGTTAAATAATGTTTAGTGTGGGTATGTACCATGACACAGTCGATGTTATAATTGCCATTTTATTTGTTGTGACTAATGAAAAACTAGAGGGAATGTGATATCAGGCTGTGTCAATACAATAATGATTAACCCTCCATTCTGTTTGCACACACACTGCAGTGGTGTCACTGTAAACAGTTTCATCTACATGCACCTTTGTCCTGTAATATGAAAATGCCCATGCCTTTTTTGAATAAATATTCTCACCAGAAACAGAAGCAAAGCAAGAGCTGACCAGATGATAAAGCTTTTCCACTGCCTCTTTAACACCAGCAGATCGAAAGCAATTGGAACCCTGCAGAGGAAATAAAAGTAAGCGTTATTGAAAATAGTAATACACTACGACACGTCTGTCTTTAAAAAGTGTATTTTAAATATGGGCTACTTAAAATCTTACCCAATCAGAGCAGAGAACGGCCATCCAACAATGACCCCGGCAGCCACACCTATGATGGCTAAAGGTGTCGAGTCCTGAAACCATCCTGTCATGGCAACCAGCGTGGTGTACATACAGAAAGAGGAGGGCAGGAATGCTAAGGGGAAAGATAAAGTATAACAGATATATTATAAATACTTATATGATACTGCCAAATAAAAACAGCAATATTTGTTAAGTGGTCAGATTTTGCAACTAAGAGGCAAGAAACTAAGCTCAATAAGAAACCAAAATATATCTAATTTAGTCATAAATAAAGTTTGGAACAAATATTTTCAGTGTTTAAATCTGACCAACCTGCAGACGAGCAGAACATTCCCGTGCTCAGGACGAGGAATGCCAACATGAGACGACCCACATGTAAACCAAACTTCTTACAAACTGCCCTGTGCCACACCAACATGTATACAGTCAATATGTATAAGAAATCTACGTCACAAATATGTAAGTTTAAGCCTTTAGTATGCAATTTAGAGGAGTGCAAACTCACTTGTAGAAATAGAGTTCACAGACACAGCAGGAGAATGCCAAGACACATCGTACAAAGTAGAACACCAACACCTGCAACACAAACCCCAAAACTTTTTGTGATTATAACACTATTATGATATACACACCTCTTGTTACGTAGTTCAGCAGGAGATGGTTGTTGTTCAGATTAAGAGAAAAACCTTCCTTTAAAAATGACTGATGAGTTAATGAGTGAAACAAGCTGCTGATTGTGCTGTAGGTCAGCTGAGGTAAAATATCAAGAAAACAATATACAATAAAAAAGACAGCATGTTTGGAATACCTACCTTATTTGTCTGGAGAACATGGGCATGCACACAAGCAGGAAGAGCATGTAGCCAAAGGTAGGCATACGACCTGATGGCGTACAATGGAGAATACTCCCATGTTTGCATTCCTGTGCCATAGAGCAGGTAGTGCATCTGTCGAGACAACGCGCCACATTAATTCCTGACAAAAATAACAAGGGACACTGTTCTTTAGGATCTCTTCCGAGGGGTGATTAAAACTCACAGGCTCCCAGTAGTTGAAGGTCTCGTCGCAGTCTGAGATGTTGCTGAGCAAAGCTGCGCAGAAACGTGCAGAGAGCAGGCACTTAAACGCTGTCGAACCTTCTGGAGCCCACACCTG